GGTCATTTCGCCTCTCCAATCCCATCGAAGAATAAGTTGTTTTTTTCTTTTTTTTTTGTATTTTTGATATTTTCCTTGTGCATTGAAGTTTGTGTAGCAGATTGATTGGTTTGTTGTTGGGTAGGTTCTCTAGCCCCCTTTTTTCCAGATCCTGAGATTGGCTAGAAAACTAGCGAACTAATACACTAGACGAGGTTAGGCATGGGATTCTTGCTCTATTATCATTATTATTATTATTACTCCACATTGGTTTGTTTATTAGATGTATCACATTCACTGAAACAGTATTATATACTGGATGACTAAGTTTCGAACACAATTTATTGTTCATAACCATTTCATCAATTATAATCACACGAATTCGAAACTTGAGTTTTATAGTTTTCTTTGTCCTCTCCTATTTGTCGAAGGGGTTGTAGAATTTTTCAGATATCTTGGTGGACAGCTGTTAAATCATTCGTATTACATGTATTTGCAGTTGATTCGATAAACAAAGTTTCTGTTATCAATCTCTCCCTTTCTCTATCCTGTGACATTCGATTTTAAAACTTTCATCCTATCCCATCCAGCCTGTTGTATGGTTGTGTGTCACTGCATGCAGTGAGTGGTATAGCTGAACTATTCTCTAGATTTCTTATCTTATTCGGGTCAACTAATCTAGATTTCGCAGCTAGTTTTTTATGCTCGGCTAATCTGACTGACTGCATCTGTTCTACTAGTTTGATCTATGTATTGGACCTGACAATCATTACAGATAGGGTATTAGATAAACTAAATTGTTTTGTTTTAAAGGCTCCACAGGATTGATCCTTTAACCGACAAAGCTTGTTTCTTATTGAATTTGTGAGTGGTTTGAATGCCAGTCACTTTTATTGGTGTCTGCCTTGTTAATAATTCTCCTGCATAAGGTGGTTTCCGAGGTTTCACTTCCTGTCTTAGATTTTCCTTGGTAGTTTTTGTGCTCTGAGATAGATAACAGAAGCTTTGTGTTATCGAATCAATTGACAGGGAATACGTGTAATAGGAATGATTCAACACCTTTCCAGCCAGATATCTGGAAAATTCTACTACCACGCCTACGATGACGATAAATAGGAGAGAACAAAGAAAGCTATAGAACTGAAGTTTCGAATTTGTGTGTGATTATAATTGATGACATGATTATGAACAGCAATAAATTTTGTTCGAAACTTTGTCATCCAGTAAATAATAATAATAATAAAACTTTTTTAGCGACTGTGTGATACATCTAATTAACAAACTAATATGGAATTACTTACTACCACAGTAGTGCACAAGTTTTACACACACATATATTATTATTATTACTATTGTTACTAAATGCATCATTCTTACATAATCCACATTGCAATTGACATTGACATTAATTAATTCTTTACTCAAAGTCAGGTGATGTTTTCATTTTTTCTATTTCTATTAACGAGATAGTGTATGCGTTTTTTTGTTGCCTCCCTTCTTCTCAATGCTTCTCACATATTCTTCATTCCGTCTTCTGAATCCTTTTAGTTTCTCACCTTTCTTCGTCGTCCTTTCTTCTTCTTCTTCTTGCTTTCTCCAAATTATTAGTACACAGAATGAATAAAAATGAGGAGATACAATACAGAAGAGAAGAAAGAGAAAAGTCCGTTTTTCATTTATAAAAAAAAATTTTTTTAATGTTCAAAACGGAAATGAAAACTAATTTCTATGGTGTGAAAGTTAACAGTTGTGTGTTTGCCTGCATGTCGGTGTTTGTGTGTGTGCGCGTGTGTGTGTGTCTGTTGAAGGACTATTTATCAAGAGGGAAGTGAATGGATGCAGAGAGGACAAGTGAGTGAGTGAGTGAGTGAGTGAGTGAGTGAGTGAGTGAGTGAGTGAGTGAGTGAGTGAGTGAGTGAGTGAGTGAGTGAGTGAGTGAGTGAGTGAGTGAGTGAGTGAGTGAGTGAGTGAGTGAGTGAGTGAGTGAGTGAGTGAGTGAGTGAGTGAGTGAGTGAGTGAGTGAGTGAGTGAGTGAGTGAGTGAGTGAGTGAGTGAGTGAGTGAGTGAGTGAGTGAGTGAGTGAGTGAGTGAGTGAGTGAGTGAGTGAGTGAGTGAGTGAGTGAGTGAGTGAGTGAGTGAGTGAGTGAGTGAGTGAGTGAGTGAGTGAGTGAGTGAGTGAGTGAGTGAGTGAGTGAGTGAGTGAGTGAGTGAGTGAGTGAGTGAGTGAGTGAGTGAGTGAGTGAGTGAGTGAGTGAGTGAGTGAGTGAGTGAGTGAGTGAGTGAGTGAGTGAGTGAGTGAGTGAGTGAGTGAGTGAGTGAGTGAGTGAGTGAGTGAGTGAGTGAGTGAGTGAGTGAGTGAGTGAGTGAGTGAGTGAGTGAGTGAGTGAGTGAGTGAGTGAGTGAGTGAGTGAGTGAGTGAGTGAGTGAGTGAGTGAGTGAGTGAGTGAGTGAGTGAGTGAGTGAGTGAGTGAGTGAGTGAGTGAGTGAGTGAGTGAGTGAGTGAGTGAGTGAGTGAGTTAAAGAACTTTCCTTTTTTGAAGCTAAAATTCCAAAGTCTCTTCAGTTTTTCCTGGGAATCTAGAAGCATTTTCAGAGGTATTAGTTGACATTTCGTTAGTAGTATTAGTATTAGTTTAACGACAGAAAACAAGGGTCAGACAACAAATCATTTATTGAGAAAATCACTATATATATATATATATATATATATATATATATATATATATATATATATATATATATATATATATATATGTACATTATTGTTAGCGGAGAAGTCACGTCTCTTCTGATTGGTTGTTTTCTTGCTGAAGGTTATTCTGCACTGCTTGTGACCGTTTCCTGGAAAGTTAAGCCATATATCTGCGAGTCGTATTCGCACACGTTTAACCTGCTGTGATTGGTTGGTGAGTTTCTGAAGATATCGACGAGGCTGTGAAATTACATCGACTGAGATGGTTAGGACATGTGTTACGGATGCCTAGTCATCGCCTTCCTCGACGGTGGTCAATGTTAGCTGACATAGGGTCAGACTGGAAAAGAGCTAGCGGTTGTCAAACCAAAACATGACACCAGTCAATTAAATCCACAGCAGTTAGTTTAAGTCACGTAGGAAGGTGTAGACTGTCTGACTGGTTGGGGTCCTCGGGACTCTTAAAACCAGTGGTTGGAAACAATTGGTGATATGGCTCAAAATCGTTCTCAATGGCTGGCGCAGACGCATCCACTCCTTATGACTTATGATTTCTAATGAAACCATATTGTTCTTCGTTGTTACCATTCCTTTGTCTCACATCTCTGTTTACTGTCTCTCTTTTGCATTTCTTCTACTTTCTTCTTCGCTGGCTTTGTGTGGTACATGGAGAGAGTGCGGCGACTTGAACTGGTGCACATCGGTGCAAAGTTCTTTGTCGATAACAGACAGACAGATTATTTTTCTCATAACCGTGATTTGGGACGTAACACTGACGGCTTGTTCGCAGCCAGCTCTCACCACGGTAGTAGTGACTGGTGCTGGTGATGTTTTATTAGAGAAGGTGAAAAACAGAATCCAGCGACAAGAACACCAAACAACATTCCCAATCGACTTCAGTTGAAAGATCTATGAACTTCAAGTACTGTTGCTTAACTGATCCATCATTGTAATAGTCATAATTTTAAACACTTAGTAGGTTTTCAGGGAATCAGTTTGTTTCAGATGTTGTTGTAGATTGACGATAACATTAGTTAGAGAGCAAAACAGTGAAACCCAGAAAGGAGAGTACTGGACAGTCACCTATTTCGTTTTAGTTAGAGAATCATTGGCACCACGAGGGTTCGAACCCAGGACCTTCGGCTCACATGACTAAACTTGTAGATCATTCAGTCAGCTGGAACTTGATTCAATGTCCGATGAAGTGCAATGAACCAAAAAGAAGGAGAGCTCAAAAAAGGTGTGTGAATAAATCAATATCATTATGATCAGTAATAAATTGTGCTCAAAATATTGTCATTTTAGTTATTCATACAATGTATCACTTAATGTAGCGTCGACAGTTCAATGGTTGTTGAACACACTGGTCAACCAACAGATTGGCCTTGGGTACTATCACCCGGCCAACGAACTCCTAAACTTCGCGTAGCCAGCAGTTAGTCAGGTAAGGAGGATAGATTGGGAGTGAGGCTAGCAACCCCACCCCATCTCGTAAATGATAATAAACACCATTGTTAGTGAAAATTTAAAGCTTTTGAAAGCTTGAAGCCGAATGTTCAGCGGGGAACTCAAAGAAATAAGATAAATAATAATAATAAAAACAACAGTCACTCACAATGTGTGATGTATCAGATAAACTTATCTAATATGGAATTATTTTTTTATTCCTTTGCGTTCTCTCAGTGGACCATAGGAGGCATCAAGCTAGAGCTTTGAAGTCACATTAGCAGTAGTGTTTATTTTTACGAAATGAGGTTGCTTGCCAGCCTTATGTCCAACTTTCCCTCCTTACAGGCCTTGTTACCGGCCTAGCGAGGTAAAGGAGTGCATCAGCTGGGGATCGAACCTCAGACTATGAGTGCCATGGTTGGCGAGCATTTTACCTCTGTGCCACCGACGCATTATGGACTTATATTCTATCATAAGGGGCCGGATTTCTACTCTTACGAATACATATATTTTTTCGAAGTATTGGTTGAAAGTGAGGCAGTAACTCATCGAAGAAGACGTTGGCTGAAGGTCGCGTCATGTCGTGAACTGGCAGAAGTTAGAATTCGTGAACTGGCCATTATTAGATTGGATCCCAATGGCTGATGAATGGTCTAACGAAATCGCTAGCCTTGTAACCAGAAGGTCCTGGGTTCTTAACCTATCGGTGGAAGGTGTGTACTGATGAAGAGTCCTAAACTAGGCTGACGAAATAGCTGGCTGTCAAGTACTCCCAGGTGGTTTTCCAGTGGGTTCTCTAACTGATGTCACAGCTCATGATGAAATCCTCCAATCAATCAATATATTTACACATATATTTTGTTTTGCCTATTTTCTTTAGTTGGCCATGGAAAAGTGGTCCAGGCTTTTTAATCCCACCAAATTTAACTGTCCCGTGTAATCGATTTTGTTATTCATCTGACAATCGAATAATAATACCGAGTCATAATAATTTACACTTTCCTGAATCATCTCAATGTTCCACACGGTATTATAATCCAGTCTGTTGGACTGCTATGAGTAAAACGCTGAAGGAGAATACGAAGAAGAATCCTACCACTGCCGCTGATGCTCCTGCTGAGGTTACCGCTGCTCCTGAATGTCATGTTGGCTTCAATAATGACGATGATGATGATTCTGGCGATAATAATAACAATAATAATCAAAATGATTGTAGCTTTACATCGTTAACATTTTTTAATCCATGTTTTGCTGGATGCAAAACGCGTGTTCAAGATGATCGAGGAGTTGTAAAGGTAAAGTCTTGTTCATCTAAATGCTTATTATTATTATTGATTAAAGGTGCTCATTAAAGTTTTTCTAAAACGACTGAGATATTAGTGGACAAAAAATACGCCACTTTTCAAATTCCCATTTACTACGCGTTTAGAAAAAAAAAACGCTACAAAAGAGATTAAGAGTAGCAAATATGCGCATTCCTTTTCAAGGACTAGTTCCCTGTCATCGACTGGTTGACTCTACACTCCCTAAATATACAGTTTCTTTTACATCGATATTCGTTTACCAATCAAGTGGCTATTTTAGTTAATTAGTTTTAGGTATAAGGGTGGATGATTAGGGTGAAATTAATAATAATAATAATAATAATAGTGATTTACTTTATTCCAAAAACAGCACTTGTGATACGGAATGGAATTTCCAGCATTAATCACAATATTGCATCTAATTTCCTCAAATTATAAATAAAATTAATCACACAGAAAATTTTCCACATTTACAATAGAGGTAGTGTCAAAATCATGCAGCATATAAAATGGAAATAGCAATTATAATGATAACAGCTAGGGTAATAATAATAAGAATACAAGTGAAAATTGCCGTTGGCTTGTGTCACACAGTATTGGCAATGTGGTATAGAAATCCTAACATGTTGAAAATTATTGAGTATAATGTTCTCTTTACATGATATGGTGAAGGGAAAAACAAAGATTACAGCCGTCATGGAGATAAGTTGGTGTTTGCAATTATGAGAGTAAAAAAGCAGAGAAGTAACAGGACCATAAATATAATAGAAGTAATAAAAGTAAAACTTGAAGGTATATAAGGATGGATGGAGGAAATTGTTTATTTACTAGATGAAAAAAGGTTAGTTAATTCTTGCCTGACACTATTTTCACTATCACATAAAATACGTGCCAAGTATGGTATCATAGAATTCTTATACTTGGACGAGGAAGCATACAGTTTTCTGAAGTTACTTCTTGTTCTACCTGAGGAGATGCAAGGTGAAAGCTGAAGGTAAAGCGGATGCTCCAAGTCAGACAAAATCCCTTTAGCAAATTTATTGCATGAAGTCAAGTGCCTATCGACAACAATGTTAACTATGTGGTCCACTGGGACACCACTCACCCTACTGACAGTCTTCAGTAACAAGCAAGATATCTGAGTTTTGAAAGACGGAGGAATGAAAATCAATTAATTACAGAATTCAAAATAAGTTAATTCTTAAGCGTTGACAACAAGTTATCTGCCCTTTTCGACACAAACATAAATCATGCATTATTGACTAAGTTACTGCTTCTTCTTATGATATTTCATGTTCTTGTCAAGTTGTCGATTGTTCCCTTCTGTTTGTAAGTCTGGAACTATTGAGATTAGTGTTATTACATTATGCATCCTTAAGTGATAAATTTCTGTCTAACTCCGTCCGTCTTACGCTCCCAATGGAGCAAAGGGCGCCTTCAAGCTAGAGGCGTGATATTGCTGTAACAGTAGTGATTATTTTTATAGGATGGGGTTGCTAGCCTTATGCCCAACCTTCCTTCTTTACTAGTCTTATTACTGGTTTAGCGAGGTAAAGGAGTGCGTTGACGGCTTGGGATCGAACCCCGGACCACATGGAGCGTGGTTGGCGAGCACTCTACCATTGTGTCGCCGACGCACTACATGGAGTACTGGACAGCTGTTTCATCCTAGTTTGTGAATCATCGGCTGTACGCACCCACCGCCGGGGTTCGAACCCAAAACCTTCCAGTAATAACAAGGCAAGCTCGTATACCGTACAGTCACTGGGAACTCTTCAAAAATGTGATATAACCTAATGAATTGTGAGTAACACACGATTAGAACACGCTAACGGAAAAACTACTCTTGTCCACTTATCAGAAAATCAACTACTACGGGGGGGGAGAAAACAAGAGATACAGATGGATCACTGACAAAAAATTTCGACCTTCCTCAAATCACAATCAAAATAGTTAAAAACGACGCTGAGTATATATATAGGGTATTTTTTTTATTGCACACTAGTCACTAACCAGTGTAATGTGTATGTATGTGTCCAGTTCTATCTTTGGTGTAATTTGGCCACCATACCACTAGATGGCTCGCCATCATGGTACGCTGCACTGTGAATTGTGGTATTAGATAGTTGGAGGCGATCCGCAGGAAGCCTTGCCCGGCGCTCACCGGTCAGTCAGCAAGGTGTATCTGCAACCTTGAAGGAATAACTCATATCCCTCCTTCTGAGATTCGAACCCACGTCACCCAGTGCCGTGTTCAGTCGGAGACGACGTTACCACTGAACTATTTGAACTTGCGGTGGACCTCCTTATAGGACTGCATCAAAGATAGGACTAGACATACACACATTACACAAGTGACTGACTAGTGTCCAGTCCAAAAAAATATCCAATACAGTCCTACAGGAGGTCAATCTGGAGGCCGACTAGCTCAGGGTAACGTTTCTGACGCGGGTTCGATTCTCAGAGAGACATAAGTTCCTTCAAGTTTGAAGATTTAAATTACCTTGACAAACGCTGAATTCACTGATAAATTTTAAGCGTTAACAAGTGATAAAAGTCAATCCTTCACAGGGAGTAAGACTCCATGATTGCATGAAAACAGAAACAAAAATCAGACGTATTTTACGATTATAAGTGGCTGATGTCAAACGAAAAGTAAGGAAAATGACGGCAGTATATAAACAAAGAGTCTTAACAATTAATATACTTAACTGTCTTACACAATTGACACTGTCTCTGTCAAGGAATTTAACCCTAAGTTCCTATTATTTGCGTAGACGCTCTGAATCGACAGTTATACTGGGTACAATTATTGACTTTAACTACAAAACACAAGGACCAATAACAAATGGTATTGTTCGGCAATTAAAGTCAATATTTTGTACAAAGTCTATAAACAAATGTTTTAAAAGGGAATGTATTGTACTTTTATTCGTATTCTTTAGTCTTCTTCCAACTTGTGCGTCGGTGGCACAGTGGTTAGGACGCTCGCCGACCATGCACATGGTCCGGGGTTCGAGCCCACACCGGTGCACACCTGATATCTATGGTCGGCCTGCGAAACTTGGCCAACCGATATCACATGCTGAAAATTCCATACTTTTACGAAAAATACAGTTTGGAATCAAGCTGTAATCAAAAATAAAAAATAAAAATGAAATAAAAAATTCGGGTCATCGAGTTGCCCGCCAATGGCAACCAAGGCCGCCAATGAACCAGCGTTCAATGTTCACATTCATTAACAGTCCTCCTCTCCTCCATGATTCAACGTTTCTTCTGCTACTTTTGAATGTAACGTACAGCATTATTCTTTATTTGCTGTACGTTGGTGATTCAGGAGTTATAATCCACGCTAGCCATGCACATACGTAGCTCGGGTTTCGATTCCCGGCCGACACACTCCTTAGCCTTGCATAGCCTATAGGAAGCTTAAAAGAGAGTGAAAGTTAAGCATGAGGTTGACTAGCAACCGTGCCTCGTAAAAACACACCATAAACGCTGCTGAAAACTTCAAAGTCCAGTACTTGAAGTCGTACGACATTCCACTCAGAATGCAAAGCAATGAAGGAAAATGCTTCTTCATCATTAAATCTGCAATGCATGCATACGATACAAAACGAATATGGATACAAATATTATTTAATAGATGGAGTGGCGAACAGTAGAACTCAGAATGCAGATTTCGATCTATTTGGATGCAGTCAGCTGAATATCTCTTTATTGCACCAAGGGATAGTGTTCTATTTGACAGTCAAAAATTAGAATTTGAATAAAGCAAGAACAATATTGACAGCTTGTACAGAATAAAATGGTACCATCATCGTTATATTTCGTTGGCTTCTCATCAGCTCAGCTGCTGCTTACAGGCCAAAGTCATTGATAAGTAGTCTGTCTACACAAACAATTTTAACATACCTCCACAAAGAGTTCATTTTAAACAAAAATCAATCAATATATGCATACAATAATAATATGTATATAGTTAATATTAAACACTATTCCGAACAATAAGATAAGATAAGCCTTATTCCAAATCAGTACTTGTGATACAGAATAGAATTCTCAGCATTTTACTACAATATTGCATCCAGTTAGTACATTAACAATAAATATAGTTCTACATAGATTAAGGTTATCTCAGTCAGTTTTGACAACAACATATTAGCATGTCGGTAGCAAAGCCAAAATTTAAACAGAGTGTTTGAAGGTGTTAGAAAAGTAGATACTACTAGCATATTTACTGGCGTAAGCGATAGCAAAATGGTCGAGGTATACAGAGTGTGAAAGAACGAACAAGAATGTTTTAAGTAGAGTTTGCAAGGAAAAGAGAAACAAAACAACACATAACAAAAAAAGGTGTAGAGAAAACGTTGTACCTGTAAATGATGTGACTTGGAAAGACGAGATCCATTTGTTCTACTGACTATTTAATAAGTTAAAGGTTTCACGCCTAATGCTTTCTTTATCGCACAGAACACGAGCTAGGTAGGGTATGGATGAGTTTTTGTACTTACTAGTGCGGGCATATAGTTTCCTATATAGGCTTCTGGTTTTCCCTGAAGAGATACATGGGGAGAGTTGTGAATGTAGAGGGTGTTGTGAGTCAGATAAAATGGTTTTTGCCCATTTTTCACATGATTCCATGTGCCTGTCCACCAGAATATTAACGAGCTGGCTAAGTGGCAAACTGCTTACCCTGCTGACAACCTTTAACATCCTACGTAATAAGGTATAGTCTTTCTTCAATAGCCAGCTGGAAACACTAAGGGAGAACAATAGAGAATAATAGGCAGAATACGGGAGTTAACAAATTGTAGGAGTAAGGGTTGGGTTACACCAGAATGTCTTAACTTCTTGATGTAGAAGGTAAGACGGAATCTTTTCTTAGAAATCGTCAAGATATGAGACGACCAGGAAAGATCAGAAGATAGAGTGACGCCTAGGTATTTAATTTCCGACTTGGTTCCAATTTCAGTGCCATCTATGTTGCACATCTCGTGAGTCCTAACCAGTTTGTTTAGGTCAGATTTGTGCCTAAAGGTGAAATTAACTGTTTGGCATTTGGAGGGGTTTAAGGTGAGACCGTTTTCCTTGGACCATTGGCTGATTTCTGATAAGAAGCCATTTAGTTTAGAGCAGTCACTTTGACATTTGACAGGTAAAGATACAGTTAGGTCATCAGCATATTTGACAAAGTTAATGTCATTTGAAGATGGTAGGTCATGTAGGAAGAATGAAAAGAGAAGTAGGGAGAGTACAGCCCTTGGGGGACACCAGCTTCAGTGAGCACAGCAGAGGAGGATTCGCCTTTGTATACGGTGTACTGCGTTCTGTTTGAAAAGTAGGAATGCAACCAGTTAGTGACCCAGGACTCGGTTTGTGTCATGGAGAGCTTATTTAGCAAGAGACATCTAGGTACAGAGTCGAAAGCAGAAGTGAAGTCAAGAAACGTGCAGCGGACATATTTGGCACCTTTGTCTAATGATGAGACAATACTGTTGTGTAAGACGGCTGCAGCGTCTAAAGTACTCCTACCCTGTCTGTAGGCAAATTGTTTGGGGTCATACACCATGGAAACTTTCTAAATTACGTAATCAGATAGAAGAGTGGTGAAAATATCCAGTTACCAAGGCAATGGGACTAGAGGACGTCTCTAAGCACAGAGCCTAACTTGCAGCTAAGCTCGTTTCCATCTATCGAACAACTTACTCTTTGGTGCAATTAAAAATCGATAGATATCCTTCTCATGTTAACTCCAACTGTATAATATACAAATTTACATGTATCTGCAGGAGCAGTTACATTGGAAGAACAGAAAGAAGGGCATATCTACAATTTTCTGAACATGTACCAAAAAGCTTACGTCTAAAGGGAACAAATGCTTTCGAAACAGTGCCATCGCCAGACATCTCCTCGACACGGGTCATGAGGTGACGTCGAAAAGTCGTTCAAAATTATCAATAGGTGGAAAAGAGCTCAATTCTCCTTAAGTTTGCTGAAGCCATTTCCATCAAGCACCTGAAACCTGATTTATGCGTCCAGAAAGAAGAAGCAGTTATCAGTCTTTCTTTGCCCTGGTAACTGGATAATTTCACCTCTCTTTCTTCTGAATGCGAAATGCTAAAAGTTTCCATTGTGTATGATTATTATTGTTGTTCGGAATAGTGTTTAATATTATTATATATATTATTATTATTACATGCATATATTGATTAGCTGATTTTTGTTTAAAATGAACTCTCTGTGCAAGTATGTTAAAATTGTTGTTGTAGATATGTTTAATAATGTCTTTGCCATGTAAGCAGCTGACGAGAAGGCGACGAAATAAACACTGATGATGGTACCAATTTATTCTGCTGAAACTGTCTGTAATTCTTGCTTTGTTCAAATTCATCTATAAGGGGAATAAATGTATAAAATTTAGAAATGATTGTATCAAGCTGAAAATGATTATTATTATTGACTAGACTTTGCAGATCACTAGAGTCAACCTTCTTGTTGTATACATCCACTGGTGTCGGTCAACTGTGTTATTTATTGAAAGTTTTATATTTCCCGTTATTGATTTTGGTCTACTGTTTCAATGTGTAATTTTATTGATTAGAGGATTTTATCATGAGCTATGTGACATCAGTTAGAGAATCTTTTGATAAACCAGTACTAGACATCTGTTTCGTCTTAGTTCGGGACTCTTCATCAATGCACGCCTACACAGCTGTCCAGTACTGGTTGGTTTTCCAATGGTTCTCTCTAACTAATGTCACAGCTCATGATAAAATCATTCAATCAATCAAACAAAACAATCCCTATAAAAATCAATAAATGTATTGACTTTTCTTTTTTTTTTTGTTTTTTTGGACATTAGAAATACTCTGATTGTCAGTGTGTAACACCTTATGCACTCAATCCATCTGGTTATATTTCATCTACATCGTCATCTTTGTCGTCGACATCATCGTCTTCATCATCGATAACCTCTACGACTGCTACTACTACTGTTACTAATGACGGCAGTTTAGATGAACTGTTCGTAAACAGTACTGGTGAAGTTTTACCTGGTCGATGTAAACCAAAATGTACACTGTATGGTTTATTCTTAGCTATGCTATTTCTGCATATTTTATGCACTGGTATCCTACAAAATCCAAGTAATGTGATCACTTTAAGGTAAGTGAGTAGAGAGTAAAAAGAAAACGCGGTGGGGCGGGGGGACAGAATTTTTTATGATTGTTTTTTTCTTTCAAAAGTGACTTATTTTCCTATGTTCCATGGAGGTGTGTACGTCTGGTTTGCTGCAGCACTCGACTTTCAACCCGTTTAGGTGTGCTTACGTTCAAATATGATCGCCTCACTAATTTGTTTTTTTTTTATTTATTTATTTTATTTTTGATTTACAGCTTGATTCCTCCACACTGTATTTTTGGTACAAGTATGGAATTTTCACCGTGGATATCGGTAGCCCAAATTTTGCAGGCCGACCATAGATATCAGGTGTGCGTCGGCGGAGGCTTGAACTTCGGACCATGTGCATGGTCGGTGAGGAGTCCTAACCACTGTGCCACCGACGCACAGTCTCCAGTTAACCTCCACCCTCCCTTCTCCATCTAACGGTCTAACACATCGGGTTAATGTAGTTTACTTTCAACCAGAGTGGTCATCAGTTTGAGACTCTGTCCTCTTCAACCGAGTCCACAAGTGCCCATAATCTCATCTCCTACTCCCAACACGATCTCCTGCATGTCACATCCTCACACTGATGACACACTCGTCACTTCCTATTCACCTCCCAGTCGAGCACTGGGCTGCATGGCCGCACGATGTCATCCGACCGCCTCCTCGGTGACATCTGCTGCTCGATCAATCCATCTCCATTTTCTCGTACATACTTGTTGAACAGTCGGCTCTCGTCTGTTGGTTTGTTGTTATCAGACAGAATTTCTTCTCGCTAATTTTTTCTGGCCGGCAATTTGACCTTCAGTATGGAACCAACCAATGAAGTTGGCAGCTGTTGATAAAAGTCTACAATAGCTTGTGTTGGAAATCCTTATTGTGACACACTGGCCAAGTTTCTGACCCATGTGTGTTGAAAAGAATTCGAATCTTGTTCTGCATGTCGGCTGAGTGGTGGGCGAGTGAGTGGAGAAGATTTTCAAACTGATTTCAAGTTGATATTGGCGTATCTTGTCCTCTCGATTCTGGCCTGCTTTCACATCTTCATCCGTTCCGCCTGCCTTTGGTTGAAACCGTGCTTCCTGGCTAGATAAGTGAAGGTAGTAACCTTTGTCAAATCTCCTCCCCCCCCCGTGGTTGGTGGGTTATCTTTGTCACCTTCGTCTACTCTATGTTCATCACCTGAAGTCCTGTCTTAGCTGCCAACCTCTTCAGCCAGTTTGTTACTTTTCAACGTGTAAGTAACTTGAAAATCCCATTCAGTCATATAAAAGAAAAGAAGGCGTTCAGCGAAGAGACTCTTTTCGACGGCGAATTCATTCACTGAGCTGTACAATCGCATATATATACAATTTTGTTTGTGTGTGTGTGTGTTATGTACTCGTCGCTAAATTATTGTTATGGACTGGTCGAGAATTTAATAGTCCTGACGCAAGAAGGCGGAAATCAGAAGACCACTAGGTTTGCGATGATACTTCTATTTTCCAAACACAAGGAGAAGCAATAAGTGGTATCACACCAAAGTAAGTAAGTAAGTGAGTGTAAGTCACACAAATTGTGAATGCGAAATATATATGAATGTTCCAGACAAAGTGTGTGAACAAATCATTAGACAGTCTTAACATGAATGGCTAATTATAATGAAGTATCGATCCATATATACATAGCGAAATATAGCAGACATGTCAACAACCACCATATATGGATATATGTCACCAAGCAACGGACTGTCAACAAACACTCCTATTATATATAATATAATATAAGGGGAATACACATTATTAAAGGAGACAAGTTCACACAAGTGAAATGGTCACAGACTAAGCCAGCAAACAGAAAGAGAGACCAACATACATATATATATATATATATATATATATAAATGGATACAAATCAGTGTGTGAACATTAGATTTATAAAGTTTAGATAATTATGTAATGTAAGTATTATTTGGCTTGGAGACAAACGTTAAGATAGAAAATAAAATAGAATTGATTAAGTGGACTGGATGACGTAATACAGTTGAGTAGAATTCAGAGTAGGTCAGGTTGGCAACAGTGTTGATGAGTGGTGGTTAAAATTAAATAAGGGTGGGGTTAGAGAATAATACAGTTGAAAATAAGTAAGTTAATCGGATGACGTAACATAGTTGACTAGAAATTGGGCGTGGGTCAAGTTAGCAGCATTGTTAGTGAGGGTAGAGATTACAAAAGGGTAGGGTAGAGAATAATATAAATGAAGATGTGAAATAATAAAATGCAAAAGACAAAATAATACAATTAGTAAGACTAAAATTAAGAAAGATTACGTCCATTGTAGATTTAATGAATGAACGAATTTCTTTTGTATGCAGAGTTCAGGATTTAGCAGATGAATTGCCATTGCTTCTGCGATGTGGAGAAGTTTGATCCGTACACTTTTAGCAAGATTGCCTTGTATTCTGTAGATAACTTTGAAGTTTATTCTGGTTTGACTTGGTGTCCAGAGTCGATCAAATGTTCAAGGATCGAGCTGCGGGGGCATCGGTTTTCTCCTTTATAAAACCATGAAGGTAAATGTTCGTTGACGCGTTTGGATAGCGAACGCTGAGTACGGCCGATATACCTGGCTCCACACGAGCAGGTGAATTGGTAGATGCACATAGATGAGGCCAACAGTGGTAGCTTATCCTTCACGTTCATACGAATCATTGGTCTCGTGGAGAACGTCAGTCGTAATTCAGCTGCAGGGAAGGTTTTCTTCAATGAGCGGGAGAGCCGATTTCTCAGTATTTCTGTAGATTGGTCTCCATTGAACTGTAGGTTCATGTAGAGAAGTCTTTTTGGAGCACTGGGTGTGGGCGGCTTCTCTGGTCTGGGTTTCATTGATTTTGTGATAAATCTTTCTGGATAGCCATTTTCAAGGAGGATTTTCTTAAGAGTGTTCATTTCATCTTCTATGGCGTCCAGGCTGCAAATTCTACGTATTCTGTGGCTTAGTGAACGGATTAAGTTTCGTTTAGTATATAGAGGCACCCAACTGTGGAAGTTAGTGAGCTGTCCGTTCCACGTTGGCTTTCTGTAGATGGATCTTTTTAATGTTCCGTCTTGTTGGCGTCTCGTTAGTTGAACGTCAAGAAAAGATATCTTTGAGTTAGACTCTTTCTCTAGTGTGAACTGAATCGCAGGGTGGCAGTTGTTGAACAACTTTTCGCCTGTAAGTCTTCAAGTTTGTGTAAGTGACGTGAAACATAAATTATTCATATTGAAATCCAGACCTTTTAGAGTCTTCCTATCGGCCAGTGCAGCGTATTCCTGTCTTCTCACTTCTGTTCACAGTCTTCCACATAATCTAGTCCACCACAAAAATTGGGAATACCAACGGTGATAATAGGCATACAGGCTTTTCTATATTCACTTTGAACGCCCTTCTGCGTTTTTTTATTGTGAATCACTTGATACGTGTGACATTGTCATATGGCCAGCTCTTGAATGAGGTTGATGAAGATTTTGGGCACGCTGTAGTGTTGAATTAGTTTCCGAATTACTTCTCGGTCAACAGTGTCTGCCGAAGGTCTTTTCGAAGTCGATCAGGTTGAGGTAGACGTAGATTTGACTTTCATTCTATGCTTTGTTCTGTGATGACGATGCCTAGAGTTGTAATTTGATCAGCAAATGATTTACCTTTCCCGAATATATATATATATATATATTCTTCAAAACTCTGATAAACGTCCTGGTATGGTCGAGGTTGGGTATGCTTCGGCCCTCCTCCCGAAATTTTCTCATTTAGTCACATTTTCATACCCTCTACCAGCCAGATAAAACATTATTTACTGTCATCACATAGCGGCGAGGGTGTTCCTCACGAAAGTGTTGACATGAACAGAACGTACGGCGTTTACAACAGGACTGGTAGACATACCTGTCTTCCTAGCTAAGGCATATGGAAAAGCCTGATTTCAAACACCTATGGTGGTTTAGATGGTCTCCAGAATCCGAGTGTCCAATGTCGAAACCATCACGGCATACAGCCTTAAAATAAATAAATAGAATGTGAAATGTTTAAAACTCTAGGAGAATAGTGCAACAATTGTGTAACGGTAAAAGACAAGAGACTTGATGGTGTTGCTATATGGCGAAATTATGTACACCTTATCTTCAACGCATATGCACCATTTACACAAATCTTCCGTGTTATGGTACTTTTCACCTTTCTTCATATTGTGTGTGTTTCTTTGTGTTCCCTTTCACGTTGGCTCCCGTGTTTCTTCGCAACTCTGAATCATTTTCTTTCTCTGACATCAAATCTGTGTCCCTGATATTTGACGTCTTTATATATATATTACTGATAAATTTTATCAGTAGCACACGCCACACAACAATTTTAATCTGGCACAACTCTTCAGGTACACATATATATAGTATTTGCAAATGGAGCAGTTCGAGGTGAAAATTCCCTGGAATGACTGACTGACTGTCCAGTGTTTAGATTGCTTTATTCTTGTTGAGGTGTATTCATTGTATTCCGAGTGATAATTTGGGCTTTCAGATTCACATCTCCATTTCTCACTTGATGCTATTTTACCACTTTCAGCTGCCTCTGCAAATAAGGGCTTAAAAACTTTTGTTTCCTCTGAAATTGATCTTCAGTATGTCGCATTTGGACGTCCAACTGGTCGCTTGCTATTAAAGCTTCGAGTCGTCGACCTATTGTATAGTATCACTTGAAGGTGTGTGTCTTCAGTGCATGTTTTTACCAAGTCAAACTTTAAGCACCATTAACTACCAATCAGCGAACGACGTCGAATGGTCCAATGGAGTTCATGCACGTGAGTTCAAGGTTGTATAGCGCTTGATTCGTTTCAAATGCGAGTTCTAACAAACTTACCCTTGCAGTTCGAGGCGGATAAGGTTTTAGAATATTGTCTGGATTTGGGGTTGCTTAGGAAGGAGAGGATTTGTTCATGTGGTGGTGTGATGAGATATGTTCATCGTTGTGCGATTTGTTTGAAACGA